GTTCTAGGAAGTCTTCCTTCCATAACAGCGCCATCTTTTCATTCATGAAAGAAGTGGTGAAGATGATGCACTTCTTATCGGTATCATAGATATTGCTGTTGATATCAAGGTAGGCAGAAACTGCCAATAGGAAGCTTTTGGCGGTTTGCTCGTTTCCATCATAGATCGGTGGTGTTCCGATTTTGATTTCGGTGGGTTTCTGTGCATGGGTAGTGCTGGAGGATACTCCACTTGGTCTGGCCATATTTCCAAATGCCACGGCAAGGATATTTGTGGATATGGGATCAATGGTTGCTAAGTACTGTTGGGAAACAGGTACTGGGTGAGGAACTTAATCTTTTGTTATGACTGGGATAGTTCTTCTGTCAACGGTCAAGATAGACCAGTCAAGTTGACAGTTCTTCAAGCCTCCTAGTACAAGGAGGGTTCTGGTTCAAGGGTTCCACTAGACGAGCGCGGTGGCTTCTATCTAGGATCGGCGGTGAGTGGTTTTAGCACTTCTGCCTACCAAGGGTTCAGGCTAAGACAGTGAGTGACTGTCTTAGAATCAAGTATCAGACTATAAGGGTGGAGACCTTATAGAACAGGATTCAAGGGGAAAACCTAGTAGATTAAGTTAAGGAATACTACTGTTTTACATGGGGTTTATATAGGTAAAAGGGAGCAGCGCAGCCACGTCAAGAAAGGTAACAAAGATAGGAAAAATAGTACAACCTATCAAGATAGCAAAGATAGGTGAAACAACCATGCGGTGCATGATAGTAGCTATGTTACAATCAACAAGAGAAGAAGTGCGGACAGCCTGCTTGATAAGAGAATAGCCAGGTCTAGATGAGTCTAGAGCTGGTGCTATGGTTACGGAAAGGAAAAATAAGTAGGGTTAAATGTTATTGTAACAGTTGCTCAAATGATGAGCAGTGCAAGGCCTGTTCATAGTCCACAGGTGACGGAGGCATTCTTGAAGCTGTTCTTCGAAGACACGATCAAACCCACTCTTGATCTTGCCTTTGAGACAGCAAAGGTCGAAGCTGAGGCAAAGGCTGCAGCTGAAAATACAAAGGTTAAGTTGCCATCAAAGATAGCCATTCTAAAGAAACAAACAAACCTGCTGTATCACTCAGTGTCTGACAAGGTCAAACAACAGGTAGCAGAGTTCATCAAAGACACCAAGAACAAGAACAAGAAAGAGGCGAAGGGCACGGCGGTAGTTGACCATCAAGTGTAAGTTGAATCTACATATCTGAAGAAATATTGGTGCTCACCTGCAACTCACATCCACAGATATATTAATAGACTACCTGGCACCCTCAACGAGTTCTTCAATGAGCTTCAGAGACTCACCAGTCTCATTTTCACAGTTTTATGGGTGGGCAGATTGAAGTCCAGAGCTTTCATGTTGGTGCAACCAAAGTTGGGAATCAGTTCGACCAAGCATTGTTATGGACTTGGATAGTATCTGTTGGTGATGCTCAAACAGAGCGTGTGTCATCAATGGTCGAGGACGTCCCTGGGCTAACCCAAGCTTAGGAGTCTTGCTTGGTGAGGCTTCAGCAAGCAAGGTTTAATGCCTATGTCCAAATCGGGTAGTTTATGTCAAGCAGAGCTTGACGATAAGTGTATCTACCAAGGCTTACAACACCCAAAGGTTAATTGTAAGGTCTGCATTAATAGAAGGACAGAAGTCCGACTAATAACAGGGGCTTTGCTCGTCAACAAAGTCAATGAGTAAAGATCGAGACTAAAGACTTATCCGCAATGAGCAGATGAGAAAGTAGAATATAGACAGCTGGCTAGGCTAAAGGAATCACTCTGGTGAGAGTAGGAGGTCAAGAACCAAGTAGATTCAAGTTAATGATCTAGTTACATGGTAGCGAGTTTATATAGAGGAGAGGGAGTGTATTAGTGGGTGATAACTCATACTACCGGAAGAAGGAATAGTCAAAGGGTAAGACTATTAAAGGAAGGCACATTCGAGGTGAGTCATAGATGAACCAGAATGTGCAGATAAGAAATGAGTCACAGAAACAGAAACAGGAAGTAAAATAGGCAGGGGCACAATCATGCAACTGCAGGTCTAAGTATAAGTACAACATGCGACTGCGCACTGAGTCATAGAACGAGAAAGGGAAACAGGGAAAGGGGGATGCAGCATGCATTGCATCATAGGTTACTGTCCGCAGGATCAGTCATTGGGTGAAACAGAGCACGGGTATGCTTCGTCCAAGAAGGGGTTGGGCCAGATGTACTGACTTTGCTGTAGTGACAGGTAGAGAGCGAAAGAGAATCCGAGGATGGCAAGGATAACAAGAGCAAGGTTGGGGTGAGGGTACAATGCAAGGGCTGAGACAAGGAGGATAAGGAGGAAAATGGTAGGGGCCCAAGCATCTAGATGTTCTTGTAACAAGCATACCCTGAGTTTGATTTGGAGATCATGCAGTCATGGAAAGAGTTTGTCAAGCATGTGTTCCGTAAGTCCGTAAAATTGTAAATTGGAATGTGTCTGACTTGGGGCTTGATAGCGGTTGCAGCAGCAAAGGAAGAAGGAAGTGTTTGGAGTGGGAGTCAACAACCGACACTAGAGCCTGCGCTATGCTCTGATGGACATGTCTCACAGACAGCCAATATTATGTCTGATGGTGCCTTTGGGAATATCCCACGTGATTCAGGTACCTTAATGGTGGTGTCATCCTCAGAATCAGATACATTATTTTCTCACATGCCCAAACCCCTCACATCCTTTTTTGATGACAATGAGGACCTTACCTTAAACTTGCCCACTCAGTTTCCAATGCCAACAGTGTTCCCTTCATATCATTTGGACTCAATTTTTGCTTCTTCAATGGATTTGGGCACTGTTGGTGCTGACAGCGTCTCTTCAATGCTGTCTGTGGAAGGATACCATGAGTTCTTGAAGACATACAGGGCTCCTCAGGCAATACCAACTTTGCAACCACCGCTATCTCAACATGGACCCACCCTGCCTTCTACTGTTACAAGAACATCTAGATGCTTGGGCCCCTACTATTTTTCTCCTTATCCTCCTCGTCTCCGCCCTTGCATCACACCCTTACCCCGACCTTGCTCTTGTTATCCTCATCATCCTCACATTCCCTTTCACTCTCGACCTGTGGCTCCAGCAAAGCCAGTACATCTGGCCAGACCCTTTCTCTGACAAAGCATACCCATGCTCCATTCCACCCCCTGACTAATCCTGTGGATAGTCCCCTTTGCCCTTACCGTCCAGATGGTAACCTATGATACGATGCATACCGCATCCCCTTTACCCTGTTCCCTTTCTTGACTTATGACTCGGTGCGCAGTCGCACATGTGTACTTATATTTAGCTCCGCAGTTGCACAATCGTGCCCCTGTGCGTTTCACTTCCTGTTTCTCTCTTTGACTCATTTCCTACTTGCACGTTCTGGTCTAATTAACACAGATCTTACAATTAACCTTTGGGTGTCGTAAGCCTTGGCAGATACGCTTATCGTCGAGCCCCACTTGACATAAGCTACCCAATTTGGACATAGGCGTTAAATCTTACTTGCCGAAGCCTCACCAAGTAAGACCCCTAACCTTGGGCTAGCCCAAGGACGTCCTCGACCGTTGACGACACACGCTCTGTTTGAGCATCGCCAACAGATACTATCCAAGTCGTAACATCTACACCTCCCATGCCAAAGCCGCTTGCATCTGACGTCACCACACCAGCATGTGATACTATCGCAGCACAACAAGGTCCTTCGCCCAGCACGCAGTCATCTGAAGCTGTACCCTCTGCCCCCAAGTATATGTCTGCAGAAGCTGTACCCTCTGCCCCCGAGTCTACATCCACAGAGGCTGCACCCTCTGCCCCTAAGTCTATGTCCACAGAGGCTGTACCCTCCACCCCCAATTTTACATCTGCAGAGGCCGCACCATCTGGTGAAGAGTCTACCTCCACAGAAGCTGCACCCTCCACCCCCAAGTTCACATCTGCAGAAGCTGCACCATCTGGCAAAGAGTCTACCTCCACAGAGGCTGTACCTTCTGCCTCCGAGTTCACATCTGCAGAGGCCATACCATCTAGAAAAGTGACTGAGTCACTGGTTGTCAGTCGTAGCAAACAAGTCCAGCAGATTTCCAAGCGCAATAAAATTGCTAACTCAATTGGGTCAGAGAACACCAGCTCTAAAAAACGGAGGAGCACTGGTGTTAACAGTGTACACAGGAAGTAAGTCATACTCAATGCTCTCAAACTTTTGCAACTCATTACCTTCATGCAGGAAGCAAAAAAATACCTAAGTCATCACATACATTCCTCTCACTTCTCTTTATTAATATCTATAATATATCTACAAAAGTTTGAAATTACACTCACGTTCCAAAATATTCTGTTTGTGATCTCAAAAAAACACTTTGTATTGATGTATTAAGATTAAGATTATTTGAAAATGAACATGATGTGCGCAACATGTGCTATCAATGGTGATTTAATCCAGAACATATGAGAATTCACAGATATCGCTGGGCCACTCAGGCCATTTAACTTGAAGGCACAAACTTAGGATGGATACATGGCCCCAGTGACCAAAGCACAGATACATTATAATATGGTAGGTAAAGGACAGAGCAAAGAGGGAGATCAAGCAGATACATTAAGAGAAGGATGGATACATAGCTCCGAAAGTGCCCATGCTAGCCAACAGATACAGATCAACCAGGTACATCATGAGAAGGATGGATACATACTAGTAGCCTCGGCAATGGACACAGATCAGCCAGATACATTGTGAGATGGATGGATACAAAGTGCTGCGCTAGCAAGATAAGCCAAACAGATACATCAGTATGATAGCGTAACAGCAACAGGTGAGTCAAAACCACAATGTATCAGATACAAGACCTAAGTGGGTGGAGAAGCAGCTATGAAGGATATGGGCTCATGTGCATGCCCCCGCTGTTTCACGCCAAAAAATTTGTTCAACTCTCTTGGTCTACTGAAGGACATGCAAAGTTGTATGGCCAACCTCCCAGTGTACACCTTGGCAAAGATTTTGAAGGCTTGCGAGTTTATCTACAAGTGTGGAAATACGGTAGACGGTTCAAAGGTTGAGCAAATTCTCGGAGAGGGTTCATGGGTGCCCACCATAGTAAGTTCAATCCAGTTTTCGCAGTTTCCAATCAGCTGAATTCCGCTACTCGCAGAATCGATTTGCTAAGAAGCTTGGGCTGCTTGGTCTTGACCCATTCTCCATGCTGGTTGTCGACCTCATGCATGAATGCAAATTAGGCACTTGGAAGGTGCTCTTCACCCACCTTCTCAGACTTCTTTATGCCCTTCCTGGGGGTGATCGGCTTGTCATGGCCCTTGACACAAGGTACAGGGGATTCATGCAGAGTGCTGTTATTTACTAACTAGTTGTCACCTCCCAAATTCACTGTAGGTTTCACCAGGTTCCAATGTTTTGAAATGGTGTGATTCAAAAATTTGCAAACAATACCTCAGAGATGAGAAAATTGGCTGCATGTGATTTCGAAGATATTTTACAGGTTTTCGCACTATCCATAATTCTATGTTACTAAGATCGCTGATGTATTCCCCTTCACCAGTGTGCTATTCCAGTTTTCGAAGGGTTGTTTCCCCCCAACCATGACATGGCTGTGCAGTCCCTGTTGTATTGGTTTGCACAATGGCATGCACTTGCCAAACTCAGGATTCACTCAGAATCTATGGTGACTTTTCTTGAAGGCACATTTAAGAAGCTCTCTCAGGTGCTGCAGAAGTTTCAATGTGATACATGTACTGCATTCAATACTATAGAGTTACCAAAAGAGAAACAAGCTCACCAACAAAGGTTGACTTGACACTCACAAAATAATGCCACCCCTCAGGAATCAAGTGGAGCGAGGAAGAAGATGTTCAACCTGAACACCTACAAGTTTCATGTGATGGCAGATTATGTGAGCACGATCAAGTTCTTCAGGACGACAGATTCATTTACTGCTCAGATGGTAAGTATCTGAAGTGTGTCCATTGCTTGTCTGAAGTTATGTTTGGCTAGGGGGAGCTTGCACACAGGGCTCTGAAGGCCTTTTATCCACTGACAAGCAAGTTAGACACACCAGCCCAGTTGGCCAAGCATGAGCATAGGTGTCGCATACTTTGATGGGTAGCAGAAGCATAATATAAATCACCCTCTGATGAACAATCGCCCACTGATGCACCCCCTTTGATGTTGTTTGGAAACCATCACCATATTGTGACTAATCAAAGTAATCCAATCAATATATTCACATTTCTTTGAGAATATGATGATGATCCGGCTGGTAAGGTAGGAGTGTCAGAATACCCTTATATTTTTCTCACAATGACTGTCAGAATTTCATACCGAGATTGAAGGACCACGTCCTTTATAGGATAAGGAAGCTAGATCTTAGCTATTGCAATCACGTTTTCATGGCTGAAGAGCACAATTCGGTAATCATTCCTAGCCACACAATCTACTTAGTCCATACAATGCAGGTGCATTACACCACATATGATCTCAGGCACGAGTACGACACCATCAACCCCTGAATGCATGCTGATGTCATGGTGCTTTTGGGGGAGACTACACCTAGTAATCTGTACTGGTATGCCCATGTATTAGGCATATATCACATGGAGACAAACCTAGTAAACAACACCTCGAAGTTCTCTGGGTCAGATGGCTGGCGCCATTGCGAAGTCATAAATCTAGGATGAAGTACGCCCGTCTTCCAAAAGTCGTTGTAATGATGGTCGCCGCGCTGGGCTCGGAACCAGGCAATCCAACACCTATGTTCATACCATTCCCCGACCTCCCTTGACCTTCTGAAGGCTGCGTGCACTTGTCCGAACCTTCCGCAGGCAGTTCTCGTGTTCCGAGGCCCGTCCAAACCTCACAAGTTACCATACCATGTCCTATCCTCATCCTTTTGACTTTGCTGGTGCGTTTTCCCTTATTCTAACTATATGTTGACTACGTCTTAGTGCTACATGGATAAAATTCCATTGGCATCCTGTCGGGAGCCTTGGAATATGTATAAGCAGTACGCATCGCGGCTTATTACATGTATACTTGCATTCCTGCACACCTCGCGGCTTATTACATAGGTTTGGACTTGCTTATCTCTCTACTAGTTTCGCCTATGGATTCTGGTCTCTCATGGAAGTAGGATATAATCTCGCTCGCTGGCTACTGATACTTCACTTCACTTCCCATACTTCAAGTAGTAATTAGTAGAGTCACCTCGGTATAATCGTAACTGCACAATTGATCTTTGTTCATTCAGAATGATTGTTTGGCTAGACCGCTGCCAATTTTGCACTTTGTTATTCTTGAGTTCCGATGGATTAGCGTAGTTCCGGACTTCGGACGTTTCACAAAGTCTTATACTGTTATTCAACACATCGACATACCGACATATATTGACCTTCGGACAGCCTTTGCAAGTCTCGGAAGGCATCGTGCTACTTTGGACAACACTTTTGCAGCTTTGGACGACCTTTGGTCGCATCGGACAAGTTTCTCGGTACTTCAGAAGTAGTCTCAGAACTACGGACGAACATTAAAGAGGTTTACTTCTAATATCTTGTCTACTCTCTGACTGTATAAGACTTCCCTTGCATTATCAAGGTAGTTCTTAGGTTGTCTCTTGGGACGAAGCATACTCACATCTCTCAGGACTAGGGAATCACATTCAGTAGAGCCCAGCCCAGATCTACTCTTTACATCGTGTTTGTAGATGAATCAGACCCTGACACATTTGGGTTTCTTGATCCAGGGCAGGTGATTCGAGGCACCCATTTGATTCCCGCATTTGCCACAGGACATGGTACAGGCTCGCTTTGCCATGGAACATTGTTAGCGCGTCCTGATGGTGGGCTAGATGACTGGGAATTTTATTATATTGGCATATGAGTGTAGATATCCTAACTTATGGCACATTAATTCTTGACCTTTGAGCTAGATTCACTGATCGAGATATGTTTATGCATTACACTGACCTCAGAGTCGGCCATCCAGTAGTCTTGTGGAAAATAACCAGACTGTTTTGGCTCCACCTCAGTGACTCCTGGTGGGCCAGCCAATGCCATGGAACATGCAGTAGATGAAGAGATCAGTGGTGATGAAGATCATGAAGTATACGATGATGAAGAGGAGGAATGTGATGAGATTGATGATGATAAACTAGAAGATGAAGATGAAGAAGATTGGGAGAGGGACAATGAAGTTGATGAGGACATTTTGAGGACACCCTTTTGTTTTAAATTTATCATGATCACTCCATATCTTTGACTCGAACTCTTCCTCACTTTATCAACCATTTTTTTTCAGGAATGGTAACTTCAGGCCAACAACTTGTAGTACTACTACTAGTAGGACTGTGACTTGCTGCTACCCAGTGTCACGAGAACTCACAGCTTGGCAGTTTGGATTCTTTGAAGCTTGGACAAGTTACTGCTGCTAGCCATGTTCACAGTAGCATTTTCAAGTCATTTTCATTGTTGTTTTCATGTTTCTATCAAAAATGAGTCATTTTTGTTCATCATTTCCATTCGGCATGAGCAGCACAGCGGCATCAGAATGTGAAATTCGGTGTAATCTGAGCCACGGCAAGTCGGTGACATCTGACAGACCCATGGCTGCAAAGGAGTTGTTGCAGGCATGCCTTGCCAGTGTGAAGCCATGTCTGAATCACTGTTGGGGTCCTTAGAGAAGCTGGAATGCAGATGATTGTTGTACCAGTTGGCTGACAGTGCCATATAGTTGCATGATAATCTCTATACCAAAAACTATCACACAAAGCAGCTTCTATGGAAACTTGGCCTTGAACAGCTGCTTTTTCAAAAAGAAAGAATTCAAATGATCCCTCAATAACAGAACATGAGAAAAAGGGTAACACAAGTTTGCTATCATCCCTCTACTACTGTCATGTTACACAGTGATAATAATGTCACACAATTGCATAGTGATCTCTATATGATGGCCGGTGTAAAACACCGCTTCCATGAAAAAGCCTTGAATGGCCCTGGAAAAGTATAGATAACCTTTCAATAATGAAAAGTTAGCTAAGCGGCGCTAGGCACACAGGTCTGATGTAACGAGCCAAACAGACTAAAAATAGTACGTGATGTATGTAACAGCGTCTCGGTTATGCGCAAAGCGCAGAGCCAAGTATTAGTGGTGGAAACCAATTAATCAAAAAGGGAATATGATGGGAAAATGCACCAATGAACATCTAAGGACATGGGATGGATGGACGGACAAGTGCGCGGACAATGCGAGTGTGGATGTGCGAAGTGTGCAAACCCATGAGGCCACGCGCAAAACCTGCAAAATACAATATAAGTGCACTAATGCACTTGATGTATCCTATGGATTAGAGCTGGAGTTTGTAGGGAAAGTGGGAGAATTCGGAGGGAAGTGCCTGTGGAGACACAAGGCTCTACACCAGACCATAAAGGAAGAACATTATTTTGATGTGATAAACCTGCAAAATTATAATTTAGTATCCAGAACCCTGTTCTTGTATCAGCACAAGGTGATGATTGGGCTGAACCCATCCCGATGAAGGGAAGCGAGGTGACTACCTTGGAATCCTGCACTGCTGAAATCCAGGAAGAGAATCTTGAGAAGGTACAAGATCACCTGTGGGATTTAGCGCAGCCATTGTGCACAAAGGCTAGTGAGACAGGCTCACCTCCTTTGAGGGCTATCAACCACACCATACCATTGATAGACGAGAAAAAAAAAAACTGTGGCGGCCATCTTGGTGTCCTGAACCACTGAGGCTGCAATGGGCAGAGAAACAAAAATCCTATTTGGCCTCTGGCCAGTGGGAGGTGACAAGTGCTAGGAATACTGTACCCATGCTGTTTATATGAAAACCAGGGTCGGATCGCCTGCGTACTGTGGTGGACTTAAGAGAACATAACAAGAACACTCAGAAACTCACCTTGCCATTGCCAGACATGGAGGGAATACTTTGATGTGTTGCCCAAAAGCCATACCATTGTATAAGGCTGATTTCCGCTGGGCTCAGCAGAAATCGTACTACCTAGACAACAAATATTTAGGTAGATCTTAGCACGACCTATGCTGCTATACTTGCAGAGCAAGTGCGTTCGATCCTATAGGGGTAGCTGTTTGGTATTAGTTTAAATAGTTAATTATCAGTAATAGGAAGATAATGCGAAGCTAAGAACTACTTGTCCGAAGGGAAACTGTCGGGTCCAAAAATATTGGAGTCGGGTTGGGCATTGGACTATGTGTTGGACTGTTGGGAATGCATTGGATGGTGAAGGAATGTGTCGGAAATATGTTGGAATGTCAGTCAAATGAGTGTTGGATGTGTCGGAATGTTTCGGAGGAAAAGAGCAGATAGATATAATCAAGTACTACTAATATCCAATGACTTCCATCCTACTACTGAGTAGGGAAAAGTAAGTAATGCAATAGGTAGGAAGTACTAGATATTAAATAGTGACCATGTAGAAATTCGGACTGCTATAGGCGAGAGTAGTAGCGATATTTCAGGGTCCAAAATCCTATGTAATAGGACATGTGGTACTGTGGACCATGAGAAAACATGTAATAATGCTGTATACAATGCTTAGCAAGTCAAAAAGAGTAAATGCGCACCTAGTGGGGATAGATGCGACTGGACAGGACATAGGGAGGACTGGTCCGATGCGCGGGAATGTCGGGTTGGGATCGGACATGCATCAGACTGTCGGAAAGTGCGTTGGGTCGGGATCGGACTGTCGGACTCGGGTTGAGGTAGTTGGAAGTGTGTCGGACAAATACTGTTTGACATCAGTATCAAAATAGCTGGTTCTGAGCCCAGCGCTGCGACCATTGTTACACCATTCACTAATGGATGTGCAGGATGCCTAGGGCGACTGGGCTGCCAGCCGAGTCTGGGAGACCTGAGACCTCCACTGAGTTTGCCAGGTGGGTGTGTGATCATTTCATCCTCAGGGGCCCTGGTGAATGAAAGAAGGGGAGAGAGGAGGTTGACACTCAACCTCCTGAAGTGCTCACAGACAGGATAGTGGGTGAAGAACAGTTTATCCCACTTGCCCGTATCCTGATGAACCTAGACCTAGATGAGGATTACACTCTGACAGAGATTAAGGGTCAATACCACCTCAATCCATTCTTTCAGAAGGTGATGGACTCACCAAAACACTTCCGCAACTTTGAAGTTCGAAGATAGGAATTGTCTGCATCTGGCTTAATGACAGAGTCCTACTCTGCATACCTGACATTAAGGTTGAAGGAAGGTGGCTACAAAAGAATATCATCAGCCAAGCACATTCCCTACTTGCGCATTTAGGTGCGCAAAAGACTCTCACCTATCTAAGGGACTGTTGTAGAGACTCGCATCTCCACACACACTTCCCTCTGAATTCTCCCACTTTTGCTACAAACTCCAGCTCTAATCCACAGGATTCATCTAGCACATTAGTGCACTTGTTTTATTTTGCAGATTTCACACATGGCCTTGCACATTTGTGCACTTCATGCATCTGCACTCACATTGTCTATCCCATGTCCTCAGAAGTCCATTGTGCATTTTCCCATCATATTTCCATTTTGCTTAATTGTTTTCCATCGCTAATACTTGGCTCTGCGCTTTGCGCATAACCAAGACCCTATTACATATCTCATGTACTATTTATAGCCTATTCAGCTTGTCACATCAGATCTGCACACCTAGCAGTGCTTAGTTATTTTACTTATACCCCTCTATTACTTATGTACTGGGTCTATTTTCCACTGTAACAATGGTTGCAGCACTGGGCTCGGAACCAGTCAATCTAACACTTACATCCCATACCATTCCTCGACCTCCCTTGACCTTCCAAAGGCCACACGCACTTGTCCAAATGTTCCGCAGGCAGTCCTTGCATTCCAAGGCCTGTCCAAACCTTGCGGATTACCATACCATGTCCTATCCTCATCCTTTTGACTTTGCTGGTGCATTTTCCCATATTCTATCTATATGTTGATTATGTCATAGTGCAACTATGGATAAACTCCATCAGCACCCTGTCGGGAACCTCGGAATAAGTATAAATTGTACGCCTTGCAGCTTATTACATAGGTTCAGATTTGCTTATCTCGCTACTAGTTTCGCCTATGCATTCTGGTCTCTCACAGAAGTAGGATATGATCTCACTCACTTACTACCTACTGGTATTTCACTTCACTTCCCATACTTTGAGTCATAGTTAGTAGAGTCACCTCGGTATATTCATAACTGTGCAATCCATCCTTTGTTTATTTGGAACAATTGTTTGGCTAGACCGCTGCCAATTCTGCACCTCATTTATTCTTGAGTTCTGGTAGATTAGTGTCATTCTGAACTTCGGACATTTTGCAAAGTCTTATACTATTTGACACACCGATGAAGAAGAGGAATCTAAACTGTGGGGAAAGTTGGTGCTAAGCTAAGCAAACACAGATAGACCCGGGCACGAGTATAATCATTGACCTGGGTAAAGGGAAAACCTTTCTTATAAAAAGAGGGACACCAAACCAATGATAGGGAGATAAACCACTAAGGTGCACAAAGCACGAGGTGAATGCATTGCAAGAAGTGGAAGGCAGACACATGGGTGCGAAATGGGAGAGGGTGAAGTGTGTGACACAAAGGTAAATGTGCGTGAGCGAAGGCGAACGGTGAACGAGTGAGAGAGAGTAAGGATAGGTGATACAAAAAGACTGTTAGCACCCCAACTAAGGTTGGCTGATGCTAAGGTGAAAGCACGAGACTCAGATAGTCACTGGCAACAACGAGTAAAATTCCTTGGATCTAAGACACAAAGAAAGTGGGCGGAAAATTGACCCAGTACATAAGTAATAGAGGGGTATAAGTAAAGTAGCTAGGTGCGCAGGTTCGACGTGACAAG